CCAAGCACCCACCGACCGGCCCCAAGCACCCACCGACCGGCCCCAAGCACCCACCGACCAGACCCAAGGACCCACTGACCGGCCCCAAACACCCACCGACCGGCCCCAAGCACCCATCGACACCGACCGGCCCCAAGCACGCACTGACAGCCAACGACAAAGGGCCTCATTGCACTACTCTCGACATCCACAAAAAACAAAAATCATGACCGTGTATCTGTCCATATTTCAAGAGTAGTGCAGCGCGGCCCAAAGCATAAAAGAGAACGCAAAAACGAAACGAAACCGGACTCGCCTGAGAAAAAAACATACGCCAAACGCGTCTAGACATCCACAAAAAACAAAAATCATGACCGTGTATCTGTCCGTGTTTCAAGAGTAGTGCAGCTAGGCCCAAAGCATAAAAGAGAACGCAAAAACGAAATGAAATCGGACTCGCCCGAGAAAAAAACAAACGCCAAACGCGTCCGCCGCGTCAGAATTTTACATCGGACGTCTCACGCTTCCCGATGCAAACGATCACGTGTCACAATTTTACATCGGACGTCTCACGCTTCACGATGCAGAAACACTAACGTGGACCACTGCAAATGCGAGACTCGGTGCCGCGGCCGATAAGCTTTAATAGAAATGTTTGATAATCAAAGAGATGTGATTCAGCAACACGGTCTGGTCCGACTAAATATGAGATCACCTCAATCCTAGTTGGACTTAGTCCCTTAAAAACACAGCAAATCAAATTCAAAATATACTATACAATGCAAGAGAGATTTTAGTGGTGTCTAAGGTGCGAGTCAAGCGCCCGACCGTGCAATAAAGTTTGTGAAACGTCTCAGCTGAGAACCCCTCAGCAGCGAATGTGATGGTCCAATCCCCGGCAAGGTGACTGACATCAACATATTTGGGCCTAAGGGGCCCTTCTTGTTTGGGCCCAATCCCACTGGGTCCAACAAGGTCCCAGTTGAATCAAGATTGAGTCCCAACCAACATGAGTTCCACAAAGACCTACTTTTTGTCCCTGCCGTACTGAAAAACAAATTTCAACTCTAGAAAAAACCTACAAACTACAACCGTTCAGAATGAAATAAATAAAGTATTGTAGAAAGATATGGTATTGCGCATAAGATACTCCATCCATTCACTCATCAGTTGAGAAAGCAGTTGACACACTTAAACACAAGATCAGGACTATAAAGGATGGGAAAAAAACCAGAATACCCTAACAGGCAGTCAATTCCATGCACACAAACACATGGGCACCCTTCTGGCACGACACTTACCTGGGTCGTCGGAGTTTTGGGACCCAAGTAGCATCCTCTACACTAGTGTCCTATCATCTAGGAGGGTCAACTTCTACCCCAAAGTACAACGCCAGATCCCCCGTCGATGTTGAAGATTGAAGTAGCAAATTGCAGTCTGTTGGTACAGATATGGTTGCCACCCTCAAGCTCGCCTAACTTGAGGAGATCCCTAAAGTCGCTCCTTGTCTTCACTGAAGTTCAGATTCCAGTTGAAGGTGCCCTTCACTGTTATCTCTGTCAAATTGCATCACGAAGTCCCACCTTGTGTCTTGCCACCACACACACACACACTAGCAACCTGGCTGGGTCTATTGTCAACCCTACACGACCCTGCCAGGTGGGAGCAACTTCCCTTTCACCACGCTGCCCCACTTAACCCTAACTTCCTGCCCTAACCCAAAGTGGTTAGCCCTGACCACTTAGGTTAGGGTTGAGGCGACAAAGTCAACTCTCGCCAGCAAGTAGAATCCACTCTGATACCAATGTTACGATTCTGGTCAATTTCAAAGTCTACATTAATGAGAAAGTACAACACCGCCCAAATGCAAAATGAAATGAATGAACTTGAGAGGAAAGAGAGAGGGGGAAAAAAAAAAAAAAAAAAAGATGATGATGATGAAAGAAGAAGATGGAAGAAGAAGATGATGAAAGAAGAAGAAGAAGATGTACACCAGCAAAGACAAATGATAATTCCCTTCTCCTTCACCAACCACTCTCCTTCTCCCATTTTCTCCTCCCCTTATATTCAAACAATAAATAATAAGATTAATGTTGAATGGCTGAACCAGAATCAATGTCCGAATCCCTTTTCTACTACAGGCACATATTGAGGTCCACCATAGCCATGGCCACCCTTCTCCTTCTTCTTCATGTAGGCCAAGGCTATGGCTGGCTACTAGGGCCTCGCCCTGCTATGCAAACAACAACAAAAAGCTGCTATGCACACTGCTGTTCAGACCGCCGTGCCTGACCCCGCCTTGAAGCCTTCTTGGTGCGACGGAACCCCAACTGGGGCCTTCCAGATGCAGCGCCTAACAAGGTCATGAAGATGGTGCCCACCATAGCCAGGTAGGTACCTCGCCACTCTCCTCCTCCTACCGGTAGAGCTCCACCATAGCCAAGGTGGGAGCTCCCGGTCTCATGCCCATCACTCCTTCAGCCAACGCTCCAAGCAGTGTGTCGCCAAACTTGCACACTGAAGAATCATGGAGATATAGCGGCCTACTTGCCTCATGGGCAGTGACTTCCTAGGCCGCGCGGCCTCCAAGCAAGCAAGTACCCTTGCGGGTCACACACACACTCAGGCCAAGCAGCACTCAGACAGGCACGCGGACCAGCAGAGGCATGCACAGACACACAGACTTAGATATTCACAGCAGAATGCTGGAATCTCAACAAGGCATCCATTCCAGCGGCAAAACTAAGAAATCAGCAGTATTCTCAGTCTGTGTTTTGTGGGTCATTACACGTAGCTAGATGCGTAGTTAGATAGATAGATAGACAACTATCTAGCTCCCCAGCTAGCTACCAACCAACCGACTGATAGACAAACAAGTAGAGGTAAATCTATAAGAGAGACAGAGAGAGTGATGGGGACGGGAGTTCCTCTCATCGCCTCCCTTATCCCCTACCTTGTTTTCGTCCATCACGTTATCACCTGCTTTCCTTCCCAACAGCAAGAGCACTGTAACCAATTCGAATATAAACCAGGGTAAGATCTGGCGTGATGAGAAGAGAATAAATAACCCACCTGACGTCAATGCAACAGAACAACACTATTACACCCGGGCCTAGAGGCCAGCCGCACTGCACACCAAGCTTTTCCAAGACAGCGGTACACTGTTCTTTTCCTTTTTGGCTGGCGTCAGCAGCCATTGTGGTCAAATAGCCACGAGCCGCAAGTTTCAAAACTGGCAACTCGTGATTTTCTACACAGCTGGCGGCGTGTACTGGCAGTTTCACACACCCCATCAAAGTGAACATCAATGTGATAAAAGATTGCAAGCAAACAACAAAATAATGTGGCAAAACATGAATAAAAAACAATCACAAACATCAATGCCATCACGCAACAATTACTGCTCTCTCTCTCTCTCTCTCTCTCTCTCTCTCTCTCCTTTGCTAGTACACGCACMCCCTTGCAAATGTTTTKCTTCCSCCCCCCCCCCCCCCTTTCTTTTTAATTGGTCCCAATGGACCATCCTGCTCAAGTGCGCGTCTGCTCCCTCCCTGTCCTACCTTCCCATCCTCTCTCTCTCTCTCTCTCTCTTAGATGCGTGTGTGCACGTGCCCGCTTTACTCGCTTTTTTTTTATTTATGAAATCGCTCGCTCTTCCGATTGTTTTTTTTTCCCGATTTCGCTCGTGCTTCCCCCCTCCTTTTTTTTTTTCCAAGGTCTTCAAACAAAAACATTTTGCGAAACACCCTAGCCATCAGTTGGACCCCATCTTCGCAATGTACCCCTACCGGACGTTGTCCAACTTTGCAAAACGGCCTGGCAGTTGCCAAGTTTTCGTCGGAGCAATTGCAAAGGCCAAGCGAATTTGCGCACCCACCTGACAGGGGCATAACACAAACATGTCAGTCCAAAAGGCCATTCCACTATGCCCATATCTTTTAGGGACACTTTGACATATCTCTCAACTTATGGGGGTCTTTGGAGAATTACCCCCCCCCCCCACAAAAAAAAGGAGACTCTCTCTCTCTCCCCCCCCCAAAAAAGGAGATGCTCCCTCTCTCTCCTCCCCTTCGGTCTCTCTCTCTCTCTCTCAAAAAAAAAAGGAGACTCTCTCTCTCTCTCTCTCTCTCTCTCTCTCTCTCTCTGCAAACAACTGTTATGAACTTGGTTGTTTGACAATTTGATTGTCACTCACACAGAGAAGAACTCACACGCGCCCATTCATGCATGAGACAAAGGGGAGGAAGAGACAGAGTCCACCTGCACACACACCAGAGATAAACAATGGAATAGCAACCATGCACAGATGGGGAGAATACACAGTGTTCTCTCTCTCTGATGAACTCCCAACAACCAATCACAGAATGACACTGCGAAGATCACAATTGGAAAGTAACCCAGATGATGAGCCAACTGAACACAGTTAACCTCAATTATCGTAACAGAGTTCAACCCAATATCTCGCCACTCAAGAACCACACACTCCACTYACTACTACACTCTCAGAGTCTAGCGCTACACAGTAACAGCCTCCCAGAGGCCAGCGCCATACACCCAGATGCARATCATGAACAGCGAAGTAGTCTGCAGTGCCGATGAGTCACTCTAACGATGAAGAAGGCAGCTATGGCTGCCTAGCTGCTAC